CCAATTAATGTTTGAATAGAGCAGCGATTAGAGAGACATCTGCCATTGTATATCCATTCAGAAAAGAGCTAAACTTGCATATTCATATTCAATGTAGTCAAAAATAAATATTTGCAAAGGTAAACTATACATTTAGATTATAAAGATAATTGAGTTGATTTCCTTTAATGAGTGTTCTCTATTTTACAATATTTGGGATTATTTTTTATTTATAAATATATAATCTTTCATCAATACATGACTAGAAATGGCCAATTTATTCACTGAAAAAAAGCATTTATTCATTAAGGTTCCTGATTTCAGGCTTTGGGTGAACTGGGCTTCATGTCTACTTGTTTGCAATTTGCATTATTTCTGCTTCAACCCATCAGTTATTTATGAACTGCTAACTCGATTATTCTGTAGCTATAATATATGACTGCACACAAAAATCACATGGCATTTATCCATCTCACTGGAAGGCAATACTTAGAGTGGCAAACATTATAGCTGAGGAAGAATCAGCTTATTTACAGGTTTTTCTGTGGATGCTTGGACATTTGTACACCAAGAGGTACTTGCAAACCTTTTTTTTTTAAAATAAGAATTCTTTGTTACAGATGTTCACATATAGCATTGGAAGCCACAGGAATACTATTGAAGTGAAAAGCAGTTTGAAGCTCTAGCAAACTTTTATGAGCACTGTTTTAAGGGAGTCGTATCCTTGTCTGCAGAGTTTGAAGAGCAACATGATCTGTTAAGTCTTGCAATGAATTGCAGATCTCTTTCTCCAACTTCAGCACAGAGCAATCTGGTAGCCGCATCATAACGTTACACAGAAAAAGACAAGGTGAAGAATTTGGTTGTCTCTAATGACTGGAAAGAACTATAGAACAGTTAAAGACTCTTGCCTAAAAGTGATGCACCTAAAAAAAAAAAAAAAAACCACAACACACACAGCTGAGCTTAAAAATCGTTTTCCTCAAGGAAGAGAGGCTCTTGTTGCACAATGCTGATCAGGCTTAGCAAATGTAAGGACAAAGGACAATGCTACTACTGCCAGAAAAATCAATTCTGTTACAGGCTATGGCAATTAACTACAAACCAATTTAAATCCCATTTCCTTTTCACCTTTCTTGTCTTGTTGAAATACTTCCAACTCTTCCATCTGGAGCAATTATTACTATTGTTTCTAAATGCAGAAACTGAAGAAAATGGGAATACATAGGTGGGTTGATATCATCTTCTCACCTCTCCTTATTAGGTACCTCTGATGTTTCATCACAAAAAAAGGCTGGACTACAATACCCTACTGAATTCTCCAGTGACAAACATACATGTTTACAAGCTAAAAGCAGAACTTGTTCCATAATGCCCTATTCATACAGCAAGGTATTCGCTGTGCTGGGCGTAATGCAAATGCACATGATGATTAGCTGCACATGATGTGTCCAGCTAGTTCATGATTTAAATGTCTGCAAGCATAAAATACATACAGAAATTGAATTACAGAGAGTTGGAAGACATAAATAAAAACATAAATAAGATGTCTAAACAATCCTGAGCTACCCAGGAAACTTCTGAAATCAAAGCAAGCCCTCACAGCTGCCACATTTCATTCCTTTGCTTTTTTTTTTTTCCTGTAAATTGATCACCTAATGTGACTTAAATTTTTCCTTCTCCAAGATTTACTATTAGCAAAGCCATATCAAAACTCTTCCATTTTTAATTTCTTCTGACCAACAGAAACCATTGTTTCCCTGGACAGACTAGTGGCATCTGTTTATACCACCTTTCAGCATGACTCAAAAGAAACCAGAGTGTTAATGCTTAGGTTTTGCACTGTTACAGAGCATGACTCAACAACAGAGAGTTTATCTGCTCTAATACAAACGTCCCAGTAAAAACTCCTGAAGGAAAGCTGACTGATCTTGCACCTACAGCTATAACTTATTTTTACAGCAAAATCGGGTTCCTAACACAGTAAATAAACAAAAGTGTTCATTGAAAGTATGACTTGAACCTTCCTTTAGGAGAATATCCTCCGATACTGAGGAAAGATATCGACACTCAGTTTCCACTTCAAAACTCATTTAATGGGCAACCCAAAGTGCCTCAGAGCAGGCTAGGAGTTAAAATTTCATTTGTGCAGTTATTCTGAGGAAATGTGTAAGTCTGCCATCTGGAAGTGTATTAGACATTACAGTCACTGTGTGCATGCCTCAGCAGATGCAGCTTTTGTTCAGAGTTTTGAGGGCTGTTAATTTAATTAGTTTTTTATTTTCATACTCCCACCTTCCCTCCAACAGCAACTCTGCAAAAGCAGCATCAATACAGCTTTAGAAAGATTCCAAAGCTAAAAGCTAAATTCAAATTTTAAGGAAATGCAAACAAGTGTACTTCTTATGGACTTCAAATAGAGCTTGACCTGTTCATTAGCAGGCCTAAACATTATTGCCAAGGGCTTTTTGAACTGTAAGAGAATTGTGCTCAATGTATCCTTTCCTACAGAAGGCTAGGAAAGGATTCTATCTTTTTTTTCTTTGTTTATTAAAACTACTCAACAACATCTCTCATTTTTTCCTAATGCCTTCTATGTAATGGGATACCAGACAAATATTTGTGTTTGATTTTTCTACTCTTGTATGGCTAGATCTTGTATAGTAAAAGTAAATTACATATTTCTGAGTAAAGTTTTACAGTTCTAAATACTAGGACCATTACTGACCTCAAGTAAGGACTACCCCTTTACAGTTTCTTATAGCATTTTACATTTCTTATCATGACTTTCAAACTAAATAATGTGACATTTCTACCAAAGAATTCATAATAGACAGTATAAGAGCTATCTGTGATGAAGGTGTGTACATGCACACCTATTTGCTTATCCCTAACCTTTAACCCTGTAAGCTGCAACCCATGACCAGATCTCTATTAGTGCAAGGTCCTAATAACTGCACAGGTCTCCATGCAGTAATACAGAGCTATAAAATCAAGCTGTTTATTAGGCTGTAAACCTATGCCAAAACACTGCCCTGCAATATTTGACAACATTCAGTATTTCTTTCAAATGAAAATCCAGCCAAGGCATGCAATCTAATAATGAACCCCAGATCGGTGCTGTTTGCACAGCCCAAGAAGCTCAGAACTTAGGGATCCAAGAACACTTTAGACACCATGAGGTATGCACACAGAGCTAAGAGCAGGAAAATTGGGAATAGAGAATTGTAGATAACTATGCATTTTCACAATTAATAGTGAAACTTTCTAATATCAACCATTTTATGAATAAACTGAATACAAAAACCAAAGGAGGCTGACATGGGGGAAAGTTCAGAGAAAACCCAGAATTATCTTAAGACCTAGAAAATGTTCATAAACACAGCCATTAGGAAGATATATACGAGTACACTACAGTTGGAAGCTTAAATAACTAGGATAATTTACACTTGAGCAGCTAATCAGGTTACTGCACAGGTACCTAGCTGCCCTGCTGCATGGATATCTGAGCTTGCTAACAAACAGCTTCTGAAAACAGAGGAGTTTACAGCCCAGTATTGATTTCAGGTCACCTGAAAACATAATGATGTAAACTGCAGCTGTCCAGGAGCCACTTGCTGAGCAGCTCAACTACCTGTGGAGCAGGAACAGACAGTTGTGAGCAATAAATGGATCAGACCTCCCAAAATAATCGTCCTTGTTCACGAACGAAAGCTTTTCACGCACACTAGTCTCCAGTTGTTATAACATTATCTAAGCTAATAAATAAAATGGGAATATTAACTATAGTAAGACAGATTCTTGTAATCAATGCTATAAACCAGGAAACTATACAGGAGTAGGGATGAAATGCTAAGGATACCTGGGGTTGCTCTTCCCAGCATATATTTATTGGTCATACTGGATTTTGTAGTTTTGAGAAACTGAGGAACTTTGTGGGGGTTTTTGTTTTGGTATTTGGGCTTTTTTTTTTGGTTGGCTTTAAATTACAAATGGATATCAACTACCAAGCTTCAGTTTTCCTACTTAGTGGGAGAAGGTATTTTGATGACACTATGAAAAGACATCATAACATAATGTAAATTCCTTACACATAAGGAAAGTAGTTTGTAGATGTAGAAGTAGTACTCTACCTAAAAGAGACTTCTAAATTTAAAGGATTATCTAATAGAATCTGCAGGAAGACAGTAAAAACACTACAAACCTTCTAATCAGATGAGAGATGAAAGACACAACAAAGTCTGATAGGATTAGTCAAATATCACACTGAGACTAGCAATCTAAATACCTATAGAGAAAATGATGCTACCTAATGGCAGAAATACAGAGGAATGTAGACAGTTTATACTGAAAAAATATGCATTCTAAACGCACCTATTTCCTGAAAAACACAATGCACAAAACTTAAAATCCAGAGCTATGTTTTAATCTAAGCTTTATGGTTTTATATATAACACATATATATGGTCATGTATATATAGTACGTATGAAGGTAGCTCTTTATATACATCTATATGTATATAAAATAGTTACATGTTATAGGATCCTCTATTTCTGTACTGAAATATAATCACCTTTAAAAGTCTCAGAAAAGACAGTGAAGTGCTGCTCTACCCAGTGTTACTCTTGGAAAACAGAAACAAAAGGAACAATATCAGAAGAGGCAGCTGATGCTGGCTACCCAGGGAGAGTGAGCAGCTCTGCGAGGCTGCAGAGGCATTGAGCTGGCTCTGATACTGCCTGGTACCTGAGGTGGATCAGACTCCATAAGAAAAGGAGGAAAAGCTGCATCAAAGACTCACTAAATCACCCAAAAGAAAAAAAAAGCGTTGCGTGTACTGGGTTCTTAAAAGTAAATAGATGATCACAAAGTAACTTTGTACCTATAGGAACAGAAGTAGGACCAAAACTTAGCGACTGAACATCACAGGAAACTTGAATTTGAATTTTTTCATACAATTGAGATTTCGGCCTCAATAATGTATCACATATTCCAGATAAAATAATAAACATGCACTTACTGAACAGCTTTTGTCAGAATTCCTTTTCCATTGCTTCTTGACTTGTTTCTTTGCTGCAGTTGAATAAAGAGTTGCATGCGTCTGTTTTCGGGGATTTAAAGCCAGAATGTTCTGTAGAAAGAGAACAGAAAATATACATAACATTTCCCAAAAAGTGCAAAGCCTCTTAAATCACACCTCACACACTTATTTATAGTGCTATGCAAAACCAAACCACAATTATTCAATATTATAGCCCAACTTCATCCTAATTTGTTTAGATTTGTATGTCCACACCACTTAGATTATGAATATTTAAAGACATTTGTTGGACTGCTAGAAAACAGAATTATATTTAGTGACCATGATAATGGTTTCCATTCCCAGATGTTTATTATGTAGAGTGTATATAAACACATAATTCCGCTTCATTATATCACTCCAAATAACACTCGTAAAAGCAAAACAAGCAAAAATATTTTAGGGGATCTGGGTTATTTCTGGATATTTCAACATTTCAGTATAAATTCCAACTTCCCCTTCACAGGAACCTGCTTCTATGCCTAGGGAGCTGATGGATGGATTTCTTCAATCTCATGTGATGCTTTTATTTGCAAGGACACAAACAAATGTTTGGACTATAGGCATATTTTTAAGTGACAGTGATGGTACGACAAAACTATGCTCAGTTAATTCAAGGGGTGAGTGTGAACAATATACAAGCAACAGATTCAGGTCTGTGATGGAAAACCCAAACAGTCATATTGTTGGTTGTAGCTCCTGGAACTGGTTTTCTAAGTTTTCCTTTGAAAAAAAAAACTTGACTTTAGCTCTATAATTCCCCACTGTGGTGGATAGGGTGTGCTTATTCTATTACTGTATGCCAAAGACGCTCAAGACTGGCTTACAGAAATGGAGAATGAACACAATGAGTATGATGGGGTTATGAATATTATATCAGAATGCTTCCTTATTTTAAAAGTCTGCTTGAGTGGGTGATAATGATGAAGTAGTAATCAGTTATATTAAGATTTTATTGTACTGAAATCTATGGGAACTTAAAAAATAAAATTGCAGAGGGGTCACTTCCTATTTAACTATTTAACATTTACTTAGACTAAGCAGTAATCCATTTTTCCTAAAACAGAAAACTCACCTACTTGAAAATTCTACCTGCAAATAACAAAATAACCCAATACAGTAACTCCCAGCTTGCCTGAAGCACAAAGAGACAAAAAAAGTGGTGTACAACATTCAAAAAGGTATAGACTATTTAACTGTCGACATGCTGTTCACTTTCAGGAAGAGTTAGAGGGTTTTATCAGATGTGCCTCTACAATTCCAGCAGTGAAAACTCTGCTCCATTTCTGGGTGTTCCCCAGCTGAAGACCTCAGGCAAGATGTGGCAACCAAATGCATTCAGTGGTGGTTTATGCTAATTTATTTCATTCTTAATTAAAACAGAACAGGCACATTCACATAAGGGATGTCACTTACAGCATCTCAGTTGCTACTTTAATTTCTCAGGATGATCAAACTCAACTGTCAGAGCACATCTGACTCATTGGTGATAGGCTGTTGAGTGCCCAAATCACCCAAACTGGGCAGTAAGTCCTGAATCACACATACACTTTAGCAAAATTTTGCCTACTCTCTTTTGTAATTGCTTAATGCAGTACTCTTGGCCATGAATATTATAATTATTTTAGGAAACCGAAATGAATTGCAAATTTCTAGTAATAAACTGTAACAGATGTACTCCACTGGGTACAGCACCAGTTGGTTTAAAATGTGGAACAAATGGTGGGGCAAGCCAAGGACGGAAGAATCCCCATATGTTTGCTCCTGTTGGAATTCTGGAGCAGAAGCATGGCTCCAAGCGCAACAGTTGCAGAAATCTGAAAGGACTACATAGCGCAGCATGTCCCAGAATTAAATCTGAAATGAAACTGGCACAGGACATACTAAATCACATATACAATATAAAAATTGCTTATATTCCCACTACCTAAATAATACACTATCTGCCTAAATCGTGGACTGCTGACTAAGGTGGCTGTTCTAGCTAGAAATCCCTGGTGTTCAAAAAACACTCAGAAGTTAACTGCCTAAATAGGAAAGAAACGTAAATACTTTTGGGTCTGTTAAACTGTCAGAAAGGAAAATTAGTGAGGGTGTTTTCTTCCTATTCATTTCAGTTCCCTGGCTGATTTTCTGCAGCTTATGGATAGTCACACGTTTAGTAAATTTAGCAAATAAATTCAGGTAGGTCAGCCAGAAAGTGGAAAATTACTGAGAAGAAAGTTCTAGAGGCAGTGATGCAACTAACACAATGTATGCTCCCAGATAAACAAAAATAAACCACCTTGGACATGCAAGAAAGGTATCCTGAGACTCTCAATCTCTCAAACACAGTGGCCATCCTACCAAGGGAAGAGCTCATTGGTGGGGAGAATTACTTGGACGTATGAGACTTTGTTTGCCCTGATCTCATGCCTGTTCTACTACATAAATTCTCATTCTTGCCAGATGAGCTGTTGTTTGATTTCTCCAGATGTTCAAAGGGCAAGACTCTAGTTCCCCGAAGGAAGATGTAGGTACATAACATCACTTTTCAGACAATCACGAACTTTAAGATGCTATTGGTATAGTAATGGAGAGCCTATGAATTATATATTTAGCGTTTCACATAGATGGCCACATTTATTTCATTAAAAATAAGTAGGTATAAATCCATTATCATTAACGGCTGCAAATCAGAATGTAACACTGCTGCATTTCTGTCGAAATCTATCTAGGTACCATATTGATAGAGAAAGAAACAGGACTATGAATAAGTACACAGAAGTAAATTCAGCCCACATTGAGTACACACTTGTAGCCCAGCTGCACAACATGCCCAGCAGAGTTAAGCTTGCAGCTTTGCACAACACTGATGGAAGACTTCACTTTGGGAAGAAAGCCACGTGGTCTGTCTCTACAGAACATAACTCTGCAGATGATTCCCTCAAATACAACTATGTGCAGGAATTCTCTTACTAATGACCCATGACAATGATTTCTTTTGTCTTTTAAAAGACAAAGATTATTATAAGCTAAAAAATACTAAAGAATGGCTTAATTCCCTAATACATCCTCTTCTAAAAGGGAACATATTCATTATGGCTAATACGTATTGATTTAGGTTGTAAGTATTCTAAAATGCTCTACTCATATACGCTAGTCATTCTCAATGCACATTACATGTAAGCTATAGCTAGTTTTTAAATTTTGAGAATTTATTGATAAATGGTTATGTTGATCTGTGCCAAGCTCAGTAACATAGCTTCCGAGAATAAACTTGCCATAAGCTATTCATTAGATGTTTATTGCTCAGCTTCTACTTTAAAGGCTATGATTAAGAACTCCACACAAAAAGTACTAGCTCTAATCTTTACTATCATCTATTAATGAAAAGGCTGTAGAAGTTTTAAAACAGCATGTTATATTACAGTGAGTAATTTATCATTAATTTGAATTCACATTACTCCAAATAAGTGATTTCAAGGCAGTCATTTGACATAGAACACATTCTGCAGTTTGGAGTCCTGATACACCATTTTCAGGTAGATCAAGACAGATTTGGCACATGCTCTGCCGTGATCCAACATAAATTTCTGGTATAGAAATTTTGTTTCATTTTTAATTCCATTAGAAGTGTCACACACGCATTTTATTCCCATATCATAAAGCCACCCTTTTAGCTGAAATCATAAGAAGCCATTGCAATTAAATCTGATTTTTAATTAAATGCATAGTCAGCAAAATAAAAAATAAATTTATGGAAGCACTATGATTATCAGGAACACTCCAAAATCAGACAGGGGCAGGGAGCAGCACAGAGGGGATGGTGTCAAAAAAAGCACAATTTACCTCAAAGGTGGGACTGCAGTAACTTTAAGGCAGTCATCAAAAAATCCTGCTAGGCTAGCATTGTGTTTGAAAAATGTATGACATTGATCCAGATTTTGAAAGTTATTCTTTAAAGTATGAAGATTTGAAGCTTCAGCTTCTCCCCCTCAAAAAAAAAAAGGTAACAACCTTAGCAAGGTGTCTTGGTAATGTGGACCTTACCTCATTTGAAACAGGAAATTTGGTAAAAATCCAATAGTTAAGATTACTCTGCATCTGGAAGAATTCCTACTGAAACCAATGAGTTGCACCAGGAGTATCTGGTCCTTAGTAATCCTCATCTTTGTTACTAGTAATTCAAAGACAGAATTAAGGATCAGAAAAAAAGCCTCTACAGGCTCTGTCACAGGTTGCAGTATTACAACTGTATAGGCTTCTTACTAAGACAAAGTAAATAATAATAATTTGTTCTTTTCATGGATTCTGTCCACTTTCTCTAGTTTGTTAGGAAAGTTTCTTATGCATAGCCCCAAAACACCTGCTGAAGTTCACCACAGAGCAGTTTGCATACAGCCACAATGAAGCTGCTGAAATTGCAACTGTTTACATACAGACTATAATTATGGGCATTAAATGTGGTCCCACGTGCTCTTCGCTTTGTTTTAGCACACTGCACATTTACCTAGCCCAGCTCCTGCCATACACAGGTTATATCCCATTTTACTCCAGTTGCTTCACAGAGCATCCTCAGCTAAACTCTGATATATATCAATTAAAATTCAGGAGTAGGCTAGGCATGCTAGGGAATGCATGTGGAGAACAATTTAACCCACCCCATTCCATTAATCTACCCAATTTCCTTAAAAAGAATTGTAATCTCCCTCACAGCAAGTGACATTAAATGTATTGCAAGATACATATGTTCACCAAGTGAACATAATGAGAACATATTTATTTTTTCTAAGAGTAATGAGCATACTAAACAATTAATTTCAAAGCTATGCAAGTGTTAATTCACTGACAGAAACAAGTAACTGTGTTTTTTCCCCTGATATTTTCTAGTATATCTAAACAAGAAACCAGTTCTTTATTGTTAGTCAGTTGGTGACCGAAGAACTCAAGCTAGAAGAATTTGTTTTCATGAGATTAGATGGCCCAGAATAATGAGTAGTATTTAAAAATCATGTCAGTTAAGTAAAAGATGACTAAGGCATGAACTCTTACTTTTAATATCTTATTTG